CCAGCTAAGCACAATGACCAAATAGATAAACACACATCACTAAAGCCAGGATGAAGTGTGATGCATTTAGGGACCGCACTAATTTCTTGCATGATAATATCACTGCTGAGTGCCTCGCCACAACCTTCTACTTCTTGGCAACATTTACTCTCTTTTTCGTTTTGCAACAAGTCGGTTTTACAATTCCCACATCCACACCTGCGGAAGGAACAATGTAATAAAATAACCTAATACCAAAAACGTGTATAAACAGTGTAGGTACAGTAGTTTTACTCACCAGCTTTCCACAGATATACGTCCTTTGAGCCGGCCTTTAAGTACTTGAAGCCTATCGTCTCGATTGCGCCTTTCTTCGTAATAGTTTTCTACCCATTCAGCGTCAGCAATTGGTTCGTCTTGGTATTGTTGCATTATTTCTTGATCGCCTTGTGCTTCGGTAGCCAAAGGACCATCATCTTAAACTTCCATCATGTAGCTCATAACAAAAATATTTTCTGATTCACTTTGGCTGTCGATCGGATCAGTAAAGACATTGTCGTATCCACCAAATTAAGCAAAACGCGGCAGGAAAGTTGGAAAGATACAATTCAAAGTCTATCTTTGCTCTTGCAATATGTAAAATACAGTCTTTTATAACTTTGCAAGAAATGCGAGTTCCCGAAATGACGTCACAACCCGTCTCAGTTTTATTCAAAATCACCAACTTTGAGGCTCTCAAAGTCAATGAAGATGAAATTTTCGACCTATCAAATATATTGCAAAAGTTCTTGAAATCGTCAAAATATCTAAAAAGTCTATTTCCCCGAACATGACATAGGCACTTTAAAGAATTAAGACTACATGAACGAGAATTTTTTTACAAGTAAGTACTTTTTACCATAAAATTACTTTATTAATAAATTCTTGATGGAAATTTGTAGGTTCATAAGAATGTCCCCAGAGAGATTTGAACATCTTTTAACTCTTGTTGGACCTTTAATAGCGAAGAAATTTTGTAAGTCACATAAAACAATCAGTGAATCAGAAAACGTTACTTCTTACTTTGAGATACCTTTCCACAAAATTCAAAAACGGCAAGACATGCATTATTATTGAGCATTATTATCAGTTCTACATTTGTTTGCGTTTTTGAAACATGCACAAAAGCAAATCAAGCGACTATAACCTATCTCTAATATTTACCATGTAGTCAGTTTGGGTGTTAGCAAAAGTTTGAAAATTATGTTATATTAGCTCCTTTGTCATACCCAAGGAAAAATCTTTATGAATTTACAATCCACATTGATTAATCCAACATTCCAACTTAATCCTGCACAGAATAGTCCTCATCCCTGAGCCGGTGCGGAGCACCATGCGAGGGTACTAATTCCGCCCAGAGATTAGCAATTACACCCGGGACCCGGGAGAACATAGCGGAATCCAACGTTGCCCAAATCCCATGGACGTTCAATGGTCATGGTGCTTGTGCGCACGTGCAAAATTTGAACAAGTAAAGACTGGTATTTAACAACTTTCTGATTGGCTAAGAGAAGAAGTTTGTATTTAAAAGCAAAACATCAGATATTTAACTGTCTTTTTAAAAAACTTTTTTAAAAAAATATATAAAAACAAGATGCCCACTAGGCATTAAACTCGCATTGCCTGGGTACTTAGGCCGACCTTGAGTAGTTGTTACAAGTCGTCTGGTATCATAGTTAATAGAACTCTATGGTCATATTTTTAAAAAGAGTAATAATATTAAAACATTTTTGGGTGATTTATTAAAAAACATGAACTAGCCTGTAATATGAGGGACCTATGCGACAACAATTATTTTTAATTATATAGGTATAAACACTATATAACAGTACATATTTTTAGATGAAGAGTATGGTACAATTCTACATCAAATGAAAATTATGTTGTTGTCTGTGCATTCAGAATACAACAGTAATAGCATGGCACATTTTTTCTGAGCAACTACGTACTAGACGTGCAGTTTTTTTTCAGAGAGTTACTCCACTGTACACTGTGGGTAGTCCATATTGTTATCGGCAGAGTGTTTAGTCGCAGTATAATGGAAGAAATTTTCTAGAGTAACTTGTGTTCAAGTGATATTGTAGTTGACAGTCCAAGCTCTAACATGTACTGTACCATAGGCAGCATATAATTCCAGTTGTTCAGCATGAGTCAGTGTAATAGCTGCATTATAGTTGCTTGATTGTTACATAATCCACAGTTTATCATAATCCTCTAGCATCTGGTAACATAAAATCCAAATTGATAGACATTCACATTCAACCATTGTGAAAATAAGTCTTGACTATTTGATGATAGTGATTTGATTGCTGTAGTCCAGGTGGAGTAAATGATACCATATATGGTCAATGCATAACATTAACATGTTGGCCATAATGACACTAAAAATAGTGCTTGGTCATGTAGTAACAATTAAGGTACGTATCATTACCAGAAGTGAAGCAGGAATGTTTTATGGTGTGAATGAACAATTAATATAGCTCATAATTCTCGAGCATCCAGGCAGCAAATAAGACTGTTTCATAGTATTCTGATGGTTGTTTTAGCTCAGGTGAAGTTGATATTTTCCATATGATCACCGCATTCGTTGGCATTTTGACACTAACCACGCTGTAGTAACTAAAGGTACTGGTATTGATAGTTTGTGTACCAGACTGGACGATATTAAAGCACAGTGGAACCAAAATGTTTCTTTGAATGGATAGGAAAAACTGTTCATCATGACTTAGTTTCCAAGCAGCACCCAAGTTCAACCGTTGTAAAATTGTACATTTGAAATGGTGGAATTGCTAGAGATGCTCGGTTTGAATAGTATCCTTCATATTATGTGTTTTCTTTTGATGGGTGCTATATGGTAGTGAATATTTATTAATAACACTATTTTCTCTGTGAGAAGTTCTGCAGCTGTAAACTTGTTGATTTGATGTTATCTGTAAAGACATGGAAAATGAGATTATAATTAAGTATTATATTAAATGACAGTCAATTTATGAAACATGGTAATAGCAGACTCAGCCAGGCCATAAGTAATGATATGACATGACGTAATGACCACACAGCATACTTACCATGTGTTGTCACTTGTCCCAATGGGTCAGGCATGTCCATGTATGTGGGATCAGTCCTTTTCAGGACTGACACACATATATGCACCATTACATGGTGCATTGTTTCTAGTCATGCAAATGTTTAGTAGTTGTAAATGCAAATGTTTAGTAACCGTAACTGGTAACATTTTGAAGTGTATTCATCTGTTTCACAATTTACATTATATGCCACAATAGCTATATTAAAATTATATGGTGTATTGTATAATAGGATGTTATGTTTAGATAATTATAAATTTGACTTTCACAGCATCATGATCTGAATAATAAACACTGAGGACATCATTTTCAATTATTTCAACTGTTGTAGATCTGATATAAATATGATCTAATAAACTTCCAGAAGATACAAATGTTGGCTTTGTTACAATTTGAATATAATTTAAAGAATCCATTATTAATTTAAGATGTTCAATTTGTTTATCACTGAAGTAGTTAATATTAAAATCACCAAGAACAATATCAACAGTAGTAGTTGTAAGTATGTATCTCAAGCATTCTATGTATTGTGAGACATTAGAGTTCTGTTTTCGATAGAGTAGAAGAATATTTTGTGTTCCATGGGACATGTTGTTAACCAGTTCATATTTGACTGCATTTAGTGAAGGAAAATATTCAAAATCTCCAACATTTACAGTATTTTGTGTGCAGATTGCCATACTTGAATATTTATCACTGACATGGTCTTGACGGTACAGTTTGAGGGTCGAAGTGTATCAATAATTTCATTGTCAGAGTCAGAGGAGAGCAATTGAGTTTCTGTTAAGGCTATAACATCACTAGCAAAAAGTCGTGAATCACTTTTCATGTCAATGCAATGTTTTTTAAGAGATCTGATATTTAAAAGTGTTATGGTGACAGCATTACTATGATGTTGCAAAGTAGTGGTTGGATGACTAACAATACATTCTTTCCTTAATCTTTCATATTCTTCAAGAACCTTTGGGTTTGTTTTCACATGTTTACTAGCAATCTCTCCTAAAATATGCAGACCTTGTAACGAAGTTGCTCTGCTTAAGGCAACATAAATTTGTCCATAGTTAAATGATCTCTGATTTACTAACTCCATGCTGACTACTACTTCATCAAGTGTTAAACCTTGAACTTTATGTACAGTACATGCCCAAGCTAGTGTCACAGGAAATTGTACTCTCTGTATTTCTGGGGATGATGGTTTACCTGGTCTTATTTTAATCTTCACCAAAACAGGTTCAATTGGGACAACTTGATGTTCTCTTGCCAACAGGTTGCTAGTAGTCTTAAGAAGATTTTTACCAGCATTTGGATCATCAAATTTAATGTAAACAATGGTTGGTTTCTGGTTAGTTGGATTGACATCAACTTTAAACACAGTTCCCATTTGTCCATTGATAAGTCTGTCTGCAATGCTAATATTGCTTGTCAACATTACTCTGGCACCTTCCTTGATGTGAATTACTAAATCAAGTCCACCTGTTTCAGAACGTTTCCTTGCAAGAACTTTATCAATATCTTGTTTCCTCACATTTGGTGGGAATTGATCTTTAGCTTTTAGAACAAACAATGGTCCAGCAAGTTGTTCTAATTTCTCATTATTGTGTTTGTTAACTGGTGAGTTCTCTGCCCAAATATGGAGTGCATGTGATGGGTAATTAGGGTCATCTGGGGATACTGATCTTGATTGGATTACCTTTATATCATCTTCTGTCTGGTTAGCAGTTCTTATTCTGTTAAGAAGTTCAATAAATGCTTTATCATTTCTTTGTCTCATGATTTCTACGAGTTCTATCATTTGGAATACTCTCCATGGATGGCATAAATTATAAATATTATTTCTGTAAGTATCAAAAACAAACTTCTTACGTATTGGTGGTAGTTGACAAAGATCACCTACGACTATGATAGAGATTCCTGCAAATAACAGAGAACTTGGTGTACCAAATATATCTTTTAATCTCTGATGAATATTAAGCAAAGTTGTGTTTCCTACCATAGAAATTTCATCAACAACAATAAGCTTTAACTCTGACAATGTTAATCTTAATTGGGTCTTTCTTTGGTCAGACAATGGTGGTACAATATCACCAGCTTCTTTAGGAATAGCAAGACCAGTATTAATTGTTGTTCCATCAATATTTATTGCAGCTACACCTGTGGGTGCCATTAGCAATACAGTTGGTAACTCAGGGTTAACAGGAGGGTGTCTAAACGTCTTAACTGCTGTATGGTATATTGTTTTAATGACATGACTTTTTCCGGCACCACCACCTCCAGTCAAGAACAGATAGATTGGATCTATGTCAACTGGTTTTAGACTGTTCAAGTTCTTCATTTTATTGCGACACCATGTGAGGAATGTATCATATGCAAGACGTTGTTGTTTGTTTAGTGATCTGATATTTTGACGTAATAGATCATCAGAGATTTCTGTTGGTTGGTGATAAGTTGCAATAGCTCCAGGTGTGGATTCATTATTACATTGTGCTGGATCAAGATGTGATGGTAACTGTTCATTGAACAATTCATCTTGGTTTACATCATCTGGCATCTCATCTTGTACATCTGCATTTTCCTGATCATTAAGTGCATCAAATGATTGACCAAGGTTGCCTTGGTTAGCTTTAAGTATGTCAAATGCTTCGCTAATGGCATCTGCATCAGGTTCAAATATTGATCTGTTGAGTTGTACAATTTTTTGAACATCTGCTTCATAAAATTTGGATGTATATGTTTGGTTGGAAGCCAACAAATTATTTTCATGTCGCCATGGGTAATATAGCATAAGTAGGTGATGGAAGTATAATTCTGGTTGTTTCTTTTTATTTGGTGTATGGTATCTTAACACAGCTTTCACTTTTCGACGTTTCATGTACTCATTTTTGTTAAGCAATTTGATTGTTTTTGGTAGAGCTTGTACTCTATTGGTGATTGTACTTTGGTTTTCAATTATGTCATCTGTTAAGATATCTGGCTGGCCATCTTGTGTTTCACAGTCTAGTTTATAATCTTTGTAATAGTATGCTGCAAATTCTGCAAGGCACATGCTATCAACTAGAGCTATAGATGTTGGTCTAATGACATAACGTTCAACAATATTTGATTTAAATATATCTGTACTATCATCATCTAGATCATCAAGTTCTTCCTGAGTTTTAGTCATCCGGACCCTCTGTTCTGGGAGATTTGTGTTGACAAATACTGTTCTTGGAAATATTTTCCTCAACCAAAGTTCAGGCATTGCTCGGTAAACACATTCTTGTGAGCTCACTTCTCTGGTGGATAGAAAGGCAGCACCAACTTTTTTCAAGCCTTCTCTAATGCTCATATTGGCAGCTTTTGCCTCTTTTGCTGCATTCATAATAGCTTGTGAACATTCAGTCTCATCTTTAGTAAAGTACGAGCATACATATGTTATACATTTATAATGATTGAATACAGGTTGCAAGTCAACATTTGCTGCAAAGCCCTTCATACCAGCAACAAAATAATTATTAATAAAACAGCTATCTACAGGTCTTTTAAGATGTAGCTCAAAGTCTGAATCAGGGGAAATAGATAATGCCCAGTAATATTGCTCTTCAGTGATATCCAAAGACTTTAAAATATCTGAGTCACTTAATGAGGCATCATAAGTTGTTTTGGATGGGTTAAGAACTTCATCAATTTTTTGTTTGACTGGACTTAAGATTTGCATTCGTCTTTCAAGCAGGTTAGTTTTCGCTTGTTCATCTAATTCATCACTCAGAGGTTCTGCTACAATTGTTCTGTTTGTGAAGAATTGCCCAAAATTAAATCTGCAACTAACATTTTTGTATTTTCTGCAAGTTTTGGAGTGATTGTGTTTTTGATATGTTTTGACTAACTCATGTAACTCTGGTTCTATGTTTTTATCTGGAAGGTTGGCATGTACATGATTATCAATGAATTGTATATAAGCCTCCTTGCTATCAGAGGTTAACTTAGGGCAATCAGAGGTCCAGATTAAAGCATGTAAATGAGGTGATCCTCTCATTTGGAACTCAATACGAAGTGCATAGTACATTATTTTGCCAATTGGGTTATTTGCACGAAGTAAAACTTCAGTGAAGAAAGTTTCAACTCTATGTTGGAAGTGTTTTGCAACAACAACAGGATTAAGATTCAACATTGAACATCTATCGTTGTAAGATAAAGCCTGAATTTCCTCATCTGTGATGTCATTACCTTGTGTTTTAGCAATAATTTGAAATAATTCTGTCCATCTAAGATCAGCACATGACAATGTCATAAACCATGTTGGGATGCCTAATTGTTTCACCATTGCTACTACTTCATACATAAATTTTTGCCAATATGGTGGTGTACCTGGAATCTGTCTTAAAAATAAATATGCTTGGTCTTGACAAATCAGCCCTTTTAATTTATTTACATTTGATTTTATTTCAGATGCAGTGACAGGTTGTCCTTGTATTTTTTTCATGGCTATGTTAATACTGTCAGATACTTTCTTTTGTTCTGTTATAAACTGGGCAAAGAAAAGGTATTCCGGGTTGGTTGCAAACCTTCCACTATAATGTAAAAGTCTAGCATTGAAGTATTTTACTGGTGACAATTTAATTGTCCGTTCATGTGTGAAGCCAAATCTACCTTTTGGAAACAGTACAGGAAATGCAAGCTCTTCACAATTTTTATCCATCATTAATGAAACAGGGTGTTTGTTTTCACCAGGTGCAATGTTATACACTTCATTGCCTAATGAGCAATTTTTACTGTTTTGTGTTATTGCAATTGGGTAATCTGGTAATACAGATTGTAAACAGGTCTCATTAGGTGCTTGGCGATACTCATTTAATGGGTCATCCTGTTCTTCAACATCATCATGATCATTTGGATCTGAGACATGATGTTGCCTGTTATCTGACAGATTATTTTTGTTTGTTGTAAGATCATCATGGCATTGTTGCTGCTGAAGACTTGTCACATTATCTCCAAGACTGCTAATATCAATTGTTATGTTATGATACAATGGGTTGTTGACCTTAAGCCAGTTTAAGGCATTCAAAACAAACTGAGGGCGTACTGCCTGGAAATAAACATGACCCCTAAATTCAAGCTTCCTTTTTAGCTTCAACATAATGATACCAGATCTTTCTGGTGGACGAGGTAAAATTTTACAGGACTGGTCACATTCAACAGGCACATTACATATTGCTCCTTTTACTTTTTTCTGCTGTCCTTTTGGCATCACAATAATTTTTTCAAAAACTATTCTTTGTGCTAGAAGAATCTGCTCAAGCTTTTCTAAGCACAGCAATTCATTTGGTATGTCATCAACATACATGTCATTACATACGGCTTGACATGGTGTTTTACCCTTTGAGACTTTAGAATGGCATGTTTTGCAAATGTACTGTTTTTGATCGAACGATTTGACATTGGTGAACACATTTAGCATGCTATTGTCATATGTAGATTTTTGCAATAAAACAACTGATTTCCTGTACAATAACCGCTGACAAATTGAACATACAAAAAATGGCCCATCTCTTATTTTTGACTTAAATGTTGATATACAGTTATCTAAGTCAGATTGCTTGGACTTGCACTTCTCATATTTCTTCTTCAAATGTTCATCTTTTTTGCAGGGATCCATAGAATTATATTTCTTAGCACGTGTTTGAAGGAGAACATTCTTTTTTAAAGGATCCATTGAGCTATATTTCTTAGCACAGTTTTCAAGAAGAACTTTCTTTTTTAAATCACTCATTGATTTGTATTTTTCAGTATTTGTATCAAGAAGGGCTTTCTTTTTTAAAGGATCCATATATTTATAATTTTCTTTCCGCTTTGCCAAACATTGTTTTTTCTCTGCAGGACCCAAATTTGTATAATCACTTTTGCGTTTTCCTGACATTGTTCTTTTCTGTTCAGAGGATTTAAGTTTTCTTACTACTTTCTGCCTCTCTGAATTTGACAACTTGTGCGAACAAAATAAAAATTGAACATCGTATGACACATTTTGACATTTTACTTTACTAGAAAACTCGTAGAGTTTATCAATTAAACAATTTGGGGTATCACAAATTTCAAACCCAATTTTCCTTAGCATATCATTGTATGCAATAAAATAGTATTTTGTACCACATTTTTTATGGTTGAAAATGCAAGCTAAACAGAAATCAGAAAACCACACCAAAAATCCAGTGTTGTTTGCAGTATTTTGTGAGATTAACTTCACAAGTACAGCTTTACTTTGAACAGATAAAATACCCTGTTGTCTTGTTGTGTATACTATGTCAACCTCAGCATCAAGAATAAACAATCTTTGTGGGAAGTCTTCCAGATATGTAATATTATTTTTAATGTTCAGGGATTTGTAAAATAGGATAGCATTTTCTGCAATAGCATCTCTTGTGGAATCATCCCAGTATGTAGATGATTTAATTGTAGAAAAACAAATAGAGTAAATATATATTGCACACAATTCTGAAAATGTGATTATATCAGCTTCTTTGTGTGATGTGTCCACCAATTCACCTGATTCTACATGGTCATTTGTGCTATTTGTTGGTTGTTCATTACCAATAACAATTTTAACTCCTTTCAATTCAAACAAAACATCACGATTGTAACAGGTTTTAAAATATTCAGCCAATCGATCGACAGAGGATACTTCTAACAATACACATGTCCCATGTGGTTGAGGCATACCAAAGGAATCTCTTGCATGTGAATCAAATATTTTTAGTGAGCCATTTGGCATCAAATAAACTGACACTGTATTGCATCCAATTGTAACGAGGAATGAATCATAATTTTGTTGCAACAAATTTTGCATAGCACAAGTAAAAGGCACAACATAAGGATTGTCATCATTGATAGTTTGTGCAGGGAGTCCACCAGTGTAACTTTCACTGAACTGAAGATGGTAATTTGTATCAAATACTGTAACCATGTTAGGTAATTCACTTAACAATAAAAATGTTTGTCTAGATAATCTTGATAATGCAGAATAGAGTTCATTACCAATATCCATAATTACCATAAGATCGTCTGGACATGTTATTGCTGCTTCAGTGTACTTATAAATCAAAGCACATAAACTCATAGCTACACATTGTGTACCTGCATTGGGGCCAAACACTGCAACATTACCCTGACTGTAAGGTGCATGGATAGTTCTAGTTGGTTCAACAAACACCGGTCCGGGGTTTTTTTCAATGTCTCTACTAAGATTAAACTTGCAACAGTTTTTTAAGTGATTTAAGTTTTTAAATTTATGTATTTTACAAAATGTATGTTCCTTGTTGCTTTTGAAAGAGCTAGTCCTAAACATCGATTGTTTTCGAACATCACTGTTTATGCATAAACGCTTTTTCCTTCGCCATTTTCGGGGCCTTTTTAAATAACTGTGTAATTGTTGAGAATTTAAGAATCGTTTACGTTCATGAGTTGAAGCATACAAAAAACGATGGAGATGTGAAGACTTGGGAACTTTCTTCCTAATATACTTGCGTAAGCGCCTTCGCAATTCTCTACTTTTCTCAAAAACTCGTGATAGCTTCTTACCTGAGATTCGGCTTGGTTCTCGATCGCGTCTACTATGAAAGTGTCGACGATTTAAAGTTAAAGTCATGAAAGAGTTGCAGTAGTGGTGCTGAAATTTGGCTTTACGAGACCTAACAGTAACATCGAGGCAACTGTACGGTTTGAGGGACTGCGAAGTGCGTATAGTCATGGTAGTCATGCGGTCATCATTTAAATCTATGGGCACTGCAGGTCGATCTAATTGTTTTACATATTTAAATTCTTTGTGATTTTGTCTGTTAATACAATGGACTCTCCAATATTTGTTACAAGCAATTGCAATAAACATCACAAACATAAAACCCATAACATACCATTTATTTATAAAGGTGTATGCTTTTCTTCTTGCAGCGCACAAACCAGGTATACGAGACAGCATTGCCACCGTAACAGAGCTTCTAGATGAAACATATTCACCTCGTATAGACCTGGAATATAAATTGTTATCGATGCTGCTCATATTCATCATCTTCTTGCGAACACTAATACTCATGGTCATAGACATAGTGATAGTGGTTGTCAAATATGTCATACTCATAGGTATAGATTTCTCAATAGATTTGTTATTGGGTTGTCTGTCTGAGCAGCAGAACGGCCTAGTAGTTCGAAATAAGAGCTCTTCATCTTTTAGTGTTGGCCTACTGCGCTCTGTGTGTGCAGTTGTAAGCAGATTGAGCAATATAATAATAGACGTTGTTACAAGCCACATGGCGTTGACGAAGCTACTCATTACTGTCACAGATTACCTATATACAGATATGAAACTTCAGTGTTTTTGTTGATTGTTTTGTGTCCCACGCGCAGCCAGTGCGTGATGACTTCCGGCAGCGAGCTTGGCAAGTGTCATGAGAGAATTTAATGAGTAAAACGCCGTTTTTAAGGCGAAAAATTGATTTTTTTAAAAACCCACGCTACTTATGGCTATTTCGGGGATAAATTCTTAAAGAGTGTCGGTATATGTATCCTTTGTTAATTGTGGAAAGGCAATTGAGCATATCTATAGCTCAAAATTGACTTTTGAAAATCAAAAAAGCTGGTGCAAGTGATGCCGAAAGATATTTGCACTGGCACTATGGAATATATGTACTCTGGCTGAATTCTTTTCAACGAAGTCCCATATTTACACGTAAATATTATTTATCTGAATTTTTCAAGTTGTTAACCGTCTTTTAAATCTGTTTTTTCAAAAAATATCAGAGCGAAGAGTGTCTAATTATTGCTAATTTCAAACCCGAAACTCAAAACATAATATGGCCATGTCTTTATTTTTTGTCTTCAGAGTTCCGCTAAAAAGACTTGTGTATGGTCATAATAGTCGCGCATAAGCAGCAATTTCTAAACTTTGTGTGAAAAATATTCCAAGACAAGGGTGATGAAGTTGTTTTTTTTATAGCCAAATCGCTAAATACGCTGAATTGCTCGTCGTATTTACATGCCATGTTCGGCATGTTGTTGTTGTTCATTTCAAGTACACAAAGTTTTTTTTAAGCTCCTATCATTTCGTTTTCACATTTCTATTAATCCCTAGATATTTGTTAATTCATTCGTCTTATCTCCTGGAGATATATTGTATCTAAAGCATGTATTACATGTTTTATAAATTCAAAAATAGCTCAGCCAGTGCTAAACCATTGCACAGCTTTCCATACGGCAAGCCCTGCACTCCTCAGCTATATTTTTTACTGTTTTTGCCAGCATCAAATAATTTCAGAAACCAGCTCTTAGCTCAGAAGATCTACTTCATCCATCTTTTTAAAAATTTTAAGTCAAATGGGACATGGCCCTAAAGATTTTGTTTAAATCATGATTTGTTTGTCAAAAATTCGATTTTTCTATCGATTTACTCATTAAATTTCAACATGACACTTGCCAAGCAAGTTACGCATGCGCACATTAGGCAAAAAACCGTGCGACTCGATTTGGCTTCAGTTTCATATCTGTATATAGCTAATCTGTGTTACTGTAAAACTGGGTAGGCGACTAGGCGACGTGATTACGTGAACAGGGCTCTCACAACGAAATTGATGAATTCCTCAAAAATTTCTAAAAATTTCCCCAGATTTCCGAAGAATTCCTTAGACACAAATAACGTAGTATATATAGTATAACACAAGTATAGCTATTGCGTTATTTACACCTTTTCAATTATTTACCAGAAAATACACTTTAAATTGTTTAAAAATAAATAATTCATACAAAATTTTACATTGGCAGTTATATTGCTACTACAGTGAAATAACGAAAAGTATCTTGGCGTCAAAATATTTAAAACATGTTTTACTCTGTAATTGCATAACATAACATTACACCTTTTGTGCCAATTTGTAAAATACTCTCAAGTCGCGAATAAAACAATGCTGCTTGCCACATGTGACCAATTAGACCAAAATAATCATGTTTAACATAAAAACCAGGCAAAAACAACTGAAGCACGAGTTTCAGCAACATTCGAAAAAATTCCCAAAAAATTTCCCCGAAAAGAGTGATTCCCCAGATCGCTCCCCAAAAATCCACCAATTTCCCCGTTTTGGGGAAATTTCCCCAAATGTGAGAGCCCTGTACGTGAACCGTGGTTGGGTAACTTGGGTTGACTATACCAGTGACTATACAGGCCAGTAGTTTCTTTACGTCTTTACTTCCGGCACGTGCCCGATATAAATTGCGGTGGTTGGCCCAATGCGTTGGTGACGAAATATCGTATCAAAATCTTATTGGTTGACTGAATTCTGGCTTCTTTGCAGTGGCCACGAGGCA